AGATCTGGATCTTCCTGCTGACACTTTCGTAGCTGTTCTTCCTTCCACTCTTCCACTGGTGTTATTGTCGTTAGACGGACGTCTATAATGTCCTCTTTGCTCTCAGCTTTTGAGTAGTGTTTACATTTTAGGCTACATGGTCGACGGGACATGGCATAAGCATTTCCGTGGATACTTCCCTTTCGGTGTTCAGTAGCGAAGTCATAACTTTGCAGTANATACACCAAACATGTTTCCAATGCAGTCCTTTGAGCACATGGTCCATAAGCCTTTCACAAGTGGCAGGAGCGTTGCATAATCCAAAGGACATCACCGTGAATTGCCAAAAACCATCTCCAACGCTGAAAACTGTCTTCTTCTTGTCTTCGTCACTTACCTCCANTTTGCTAAAGTAGTCCATAACCACAAGGACGTATTTGTTTCCCTGTGCGCTTAAAGGAAACGGGCCGGCTAGATCCATGGCAATCCGCTCGAATGGTGTACCTGAGTTATACTGCTTCATCTGGCCATGACTTCTGGATTTCGGCCCTTTAGGTGCAATACACTCCGCGCAGTTAGCAATCCACTCTGCGACCGACTGCCGACAACCAACCCAATAGAACCTCTGCTTAACCTTCTTCAGGGTCTTCGTGATTCCCCGGTGCCCTCCACTAGGACCATTGTGGAATTCCTTGAGCACATCCGGAATTCTTACCCTTGGAACTACTATCAGGTTGCGGGAGCACTGGCCATCTTCGCTTTCCCATACCCTATGCAAACAGCCAGATATTAATTTTAAGCTGTTCCATTGTGCCCAGTACGCCTTTGCGATGGGGCTTTCCGCTGCCATTTGCTCCTTAGTTGGCCTCCTGTCCACCTCCAGTCCATGCATCAAAAGCTCCAGATCTGGATCTTCCTGCTGACACTTCCGTAGCTGTTCTTCCTTCCACTCTTCCGCTGGTGTTATTGTCGTTAGACGGACGTCTATAATGTCCTCTTTGCTCTCAGCTTTTGAGTAGTGTTTACATTTTAGGCTACATGGTCGACGGGACATGGCATAAGCATTTCCGTGGATACTTCCCTTTCGGTGTTCAGTAGCGAAGTCATAACTTTGCAGTATCTCAATCCACCGAGCTAGTTGTCCTTCTGGATTCTTAAACTGTAGTAGCCACTTCAGCGCTGCATTGCCCGTTCGAATTCGGAAACGTTGCCCATAGAGGTACTTGTGGAAATGTTTGACGCACTCCACCAACGCTAGTAGTTCTCTCCGAGTTACGCAGTATTTCCTCTCTGGTTTTCCAATCGACCGGCTATAGTAGCCAACTACCTTCTCCTGCCCATCAATTACCTGCGACAGTGCGTCTCCTATGGCATAACCACTAGCATCCGTATCCAAAATAAACGTTGCACCTAGAACGAGATACGCTAGCATAGGTGCAGTACATAGCCGTTCTTTCAGAGTTTGGAAAGCCTCCTCCTGCTCCTTGTTCCACTCGAAGGCTCTATTTTTCCTAGAGAGCTCGTGGAGGCTATTAGGAACGCTGGCAAAATTCGGAACAAATCGGCGGTAGTAGGTGCATAGCCCAAGAAAACTTTCTCGTTCGTGCAGGTTCCTAGGTCTTGGCCAATCCTTTACTTCTTCTATCTTTTCCTTCGCAGTACAGACGCCCTCTGTTGTCACCTTGTGTCCCAAGTAGTTCACCTTCACCATCTTGAACAGTGAGCACTTTTTAGGACTTAGCTTCAGACCAGCGCCAGCTATCCTCTGGATAACTTCTTCCAAATTGTTCCGGTGTTCCTCAAAACTTTTGCCCAATACGATAATGTCGTCTAGATACACCAAACATGTTTCCAATGCAGTCCTTTGAGCACATGGTCCATAAGCCTTTCACAAGTGGCAGGAGCGTTGCATAATCCAAAGGACATCACCGTGAATTGCCAAAAACCATCTCCAACGCTGAAAACTGTCTTCTTCTTGTCTTCGTCACTTACCTCCACTTGGCAATAACCGCTCTTAAGGTGGAGTGTTGAGAACCACTGTGTTCCAGTCAACGAGTCCAGAGTATCAGCGATCCTGGGAAGTGGATAGCTGTCCTTTTTCGTCACATCATTTAGTTTCCGATTTCTTCTCCACAAGTACTACCGGCGATCTCCATGGACTCGCTGATGGTCCAATCACACCAATCTCGCTTTCTTTTATTATTTGGCTAACAGTTTCACGTTTGGAAAGTGGAACACTCCGAGGAGCTTGACGGATTGGCCTTGCATCGCCAGTATCAATGCGATGTTTTACAACGTTAGTCCTGCCTGGTTTGTTGCCATCCTTGTCGAATATGTTGGAGTATTTTTCTTCCAACCCTTCCGTCCAAGCATTTATGTCTTCCCCAATGTCATTCTCGCCAATGGAATCGCTTTCAGGTAATTTTTCGCAGTTGAAGATTGGTTCTACCTCTCGACATTGCCCCAGTACAGTCCCTCTTCGGAGCTTAATTGGTAATTTGAATTCATTAAGTACTCGAACTGGGATGCGTCCATCTTTTTGCGTCTTAGCCAAGGTTTTACCAATAAGTACGTCCGGTGTAGAATTCTCTGTTGGTTCAACAACCCGCAACTTTTTTGTCCCACAATCTCCATCAATCTTCGCCCAAACAACTGCTTCTGAACTCGGTGGAATCTGCTCGCTTTCCTCTAGGATCACTCGCTTGCTGCTGTACGGGCCATCATATCCAAACCCAAAGGGCACTTCCATGTTGTTGTTCTTCATGATCCTTTTATTCATGTCGATCTCCATACCTTGATCAAATAAAAAGTCTAATCCAATGATGACTTCATCCATAATCTCCGCGACTATGAACTTGTGTAACACCGTCACATTCCCTAATACGACTTTGCACGTTACCTCTCCTACAACTTGGGTGTCCTCACCAGTTGCAGTGCTCAACCTTGCTTCTTTAGTGACCAAATCAGATCGAATGATGGAATGTGATGCACCCGTATCCACAGTTAATACTCGCTCATGTCCGTCCACATATCCACCAACAGTAACGTTGCTCGCTTTTCTGCCAATTCGCGAGACGGAGATTATGGGGCATCCAATTGCGGGAGCCAGCGTGCGCTCCTTGCTGCTTGCTCGTTTTAGTTTAACGACTGATCGGAGTTGGGCTCGTCTTCCTCAGCCCTGCGTTTACGTACTGCTGAACTGTTAGACTTGTTGGAACCCATATTACTTCGCGTGCGAAGTGGCCTGGTTTACCGCAACTAAAGCATTTTTCAGCACCATCCTTTTTCCCTGCCATCGACTTGAGTGTATTCAAGATTTCGTTCATCACGTCAGGTGTCTCCACTTTTTCTCTATGGGCTTTGTAGGCTGGTCTACTTAGGAGCGCCGCCGTTTCACGTGTCTGAGTATACGAGACAGTTTCAGCAAATGTTGGCTTTGGATTCGCGTACGTCTCTCGCTTGGTATACACGTCAGGCATTCCGTTANACTTGTGTAACACCGTCACATTCCCTAATACGACTTTGCACGTTACCTCTCCTACAACTTGGGTGTCCTCACCAGTTGCAGTGCTCAACCTTGCTTCTTTAGTGACCAAATCAGATCGAATGATGGAATGTGATGCACCCGTATCCACAGTTAATACTCGCTCATGTCCGTCCACATATCCACCAACAGTAACGTTGCTCGCTTTTCTGCCAATTCGCGAGACGGAGATTATGGGGCATCCAATTGCGGGAGCCAGCGTGCGCTCCTTGCTGCTTGCTCGTTTTAGTTTAACGACTGATCGGAGTTGGGCTCGTCTTCCTCAGCCCTGCGTTTACGTACTGCTGAACTGTTAGACTTGTTGGAACCCATATTACTTCGCGTGCGAAGTGGCCTGGTTTACCGCAACTAAAGCATTTTTCAGCACCATCCTTTTTCCCTGCCATCGACTTGAGTGTATTCAAGATTTCGTTCATCACGTCAGGTGTCTCCACTTTTTCTCTATGGGCTTTGTAGGCTGGTCTACTTAGGAGCGCCGCCGTTTCACGTGTCTGAGTATACGAGACAGTTTCAGCAAATGTTGGCTTTGGATTCGCGTACGTCTCTCGCTTGGTATACACGTCAGGCATTCCGTTAATGAACCTCTGGATCTTTACCCTTTCAAGGTGTTCACCAGATGCGTCTCCAATAGCTAAGTGAGCCAACCTATCGATCTCTGAAGCGAATTCCTGTAGAGTCTCGTTGGACTTTTGGCAGCGATTCTCCTGCTCCATATGGTAGATCTGTCTCTCGCTGTTCGCAGTGTTCATCCAACTTGACGTTTCTCTTTGTGGAACATTCTACGTCATTCCTCGAACATTCTGCCTATTTCTCGTTGTTCGCTTCGTGTTGCCGCAGTATTCGCCACAATATGTATATGCATGTGTGTGCACCAATTTATTAATATCATTGAATTATTTTAATATCTGTTGCAAAATTTTATACAGACAAGACTAAACAACTTTTTAATATACCACGCTTTTATAAATGGACTAAATAGCAGAAAATAATATTTCTCAGTCCCATAGAATTTGTTTTGATAACTTTTGATTTTGAAATTTTAGNCCAATTCGCGAGACGGAGATTATGGGGCATCCAATTGCGGGAGCCAGCGTGCGCTCCTTGCTGCTTGCTCGTTTTAGTTTAACGACTGATCGGAGTTGGGCTCGTCTTCCTCAGCCCTGCGTTTACGTACTGCTGAACTGTTAGACTTGTTGGAACCCATATTACTTCGCGTGCGAAGTGGCCTGGTTTACCGCAACTAAAGCATTTTTCAGCACCATCCTTTTTCCCTGCCATCGACTTGAGTGTATTCAAGATTTCGTTCATCACGTCAGGTGTCTCCACTTTTTCTCTATGGGCTTTGTAGGCTGGTCTACTTAGGAGCGCCGCCGTTTCACGTGTCTGAGTATACGAGACAGTTTCAGCAAATGTTGGCTTTGGATTCGCGTACGTCTCTCGCTTGGTATACACGTCAGGCATTCCGTTAATGAACCTCTGGATCTTTACCCTTTCAAGGTGTTCACCAGATGCGTCTCCAATAGCTAAGTGAGCCAACCTATCGATCTCTGAAGCGAATTCCTGTAGAGTCTCGTTGGACTTTTGGCAGCGATTCTCCTGCTCCATATGGTAGATCTGTCTCTCGCTGTTCGCAGTGTTCATCCAACTTGACGTTTCTCTTTGTGGAACATTCTACGTCATTCCTCGAACATTCTGCCTATTTCTCGTTGTTCGCTTCGTGTTGCCGCAGTATTCGCCACAATATGTATATGCATGTGTGTGCACCAATTTATTAATATCATTGAATTATTTTAATATCTGTTGCAAAATTTTATACAGACAAGACTAAACAACTTTTTAATATACCACGCTTTTATAAATGGACTAAATAGCAGAAAATAATATTTCTCAGTCCCATAGAATTTGTTTTGATAACTTTTGATTTTGAAATTTTAGCAAAAGTCATTATAAACAATTTATGAGATTGAAAATGAAAAGCGTGTGGCGCATGTAATAGACCAGAATTGATATGAAGGGTAATATATGTACATATGTATGTGGACAGTGGTGCACACGGGAGTCTCCGGGAGCTACTCGGCTTTCACATACAAGTCGTGTGTGCGCAGCTACCGAACTTATGCTCAGCTAGCAGCCGGTCAGTTTGCGTTTGTATTTCATGCTGTAAGCATCACATGCGCGAGCAGTTTTTCTGAGTACACACATGCTGATACAAAAAAATTGCGGTTGTGTTGGGAGCTCTGCCAACGCTGTGCTCCACTGATGTGGATATATGTATGAATAACGACCGCTTAAAATCGATCTCAAATTTGTACTTTCTCTGTAGAAATTTTAGGTCTATGTTATGTAGTTTGACTATTATCAATTAAATCTAATGCTAATGAGGAATAAAAAATCGTTAGTATTAAAAATGGTTAAATAAACAATTGGGTATTATTGTTTAAAGTATCCTGAAGAGAACCAGATTCTATACCATTTCTACGAAAAATTGTATTTTTCCCATATAAAAATACATGGAGAACTTTGAGCGATTTGGGCGACCTCTAAATATTTTTTGATTTCAAAATAAAAAAATAGGGGTATACTTTTTTCGATATAGAACAATCCTGGGGGTGAGAGCATTGCAATTCCGACTTTGCTGTTTTCGGACCACCCTAATGCACATACATATATTACTTTTCATATCAATTCAAGTCTATTACATGCGCCCCACACTTTTCATTTTCAATCTCATAAATTGTTTATAATGACTTTTGCCAAAATTTCAAAATCAAAAGTTATCAAAAGAAATTCTATGTGACTAAGAATTATCATTTTTTAATTTTTAGTCCATTTATAAAAGCGTTGTATATTAAAAAGTTTTTTTTTTTATATGTATTATTTATTAACTAATAAATCGTGCGAGAAGACGTTTCGGCGCATATTTCTCATTAAGGACTTCGACAATTTTATGCGATGGCAATAAATTTAGTTACGTTTAAGTTTAGTTCAAAATAGATTTAATTTTAGATAGTACTCCATATGTGACCTGGTCTACGGAAAGGGGGCTTAGGTGTCAAAAAATCAATTTTGATTCGGATGGAAGATGAGATGCTTTTTCACGTGGTGAAAAGCAGAAAATCCTGACTTGCTTAGAAGTGTACTAAAAATGTAGAGAAAGAAGAGTAAAAATACGACAAAATATAATTTATTGGTAATGAACAAAATACATTGAATTATAAGCTATAAAGACATGATTATACACTAGAAAAACGTATTATGGGCCAAAAATAATAATGCTGAGTAGTTTATGTATTTTTCTTTGTTGTCGTTTTCCTTGAGATCTTTTTACGTGTTGATCCTGAGGAAGATGGACCTGGTTCCTCGTCTGGTTTGAGAACATCTTCACCCTGAGATACACATACTTCGTCTTCATCATCATCGCTCTCTTCATAGTTTTCATCATCCTTTTCATGGAAATATTGTCCGTATACGGCACTGAACTCCTCATCAACACTCATGTTTCATTTCATGCGAAATGCGAAGACGATAATCAACAGAAACAGTAAACGTCACTTCTTCAGTGTTACTTTTTTAAATGTTCCACACTAGCAACTTACACGATGAACTATAATAATATTCCGACCAACAACAACACTTACTGGACCAACAACAACACTTACTGGACGTCCGGCGCGGAGAACAATTAACGAGATAATGAGAAACTGACGAAACGAGTTGCTTACTTTTAAGCATCGATACTGAGGGTATTAAAATGAGTACTTTAATACTCGATACCTTATTTGGTGATTTTACTCGATACTTTGCAAAGTACTCGTAGTATCAAGAACTTTTTAAAAAACACACTTTTTAAACTTTTTCTTCCATTGGCAACCCAATTTTCTTTGGCTATATGGATTACTATCATTCAATTTGATCCATCACTTAAAATAAACTGAAATTTCGTTTAGTCTGTTGCATAACATAAACCAAATAAATTAAAGTTTAATGGCATTATTCATAAAAAATAAAGTAGGTTTAAAGAGCTTAATAAAATGACATTTTCATACATTTTTCATTTTATAAACCCTTTTTATTTCGAATGAATAAGGCCATAAAACTATACGCAAGTATATGCAGTTTGGTAACCTATTCAACTTTAGTGTAGCCTACTACCGTTGACTTTTAATTCAAACTTGCACATAATTATACAAAATTGAATAGGCTACAAAAATGCATACCCACAAAGTTTACAAAAATTCTTAATAAAATTTGAAATTCGTGAAAGTATATATGTACATATATATGTATGTATG